AGGAAATCGTACTGTACAACATTGTACGGCGACACTGTACATCCCTCCCTCGCTCCCCTCACCTGTTGGAATATGGCGGCCTGCAGCTGCTCGTTGCGATGACCCAACCGAGATAAGGCCGACAAGGAATTGGCGAGCTCCTGTGACGGTTTTGCAGTACAAGTGCGGTACAAGTGCGGTACAAGGCACTTCGGTAAGCAGACTAAGTAGGTGGCATCTTGATAAATGAAAGGAATCTCTTCAAGAGAAATACATCGCAATATATACACACATATACATACATACACACTCACGCACCTGAGGTCTAAACCCGATCACCTTGGCCACCGACCCACGGGCCACCTGGTCCAGCACATGAGGCCCCGGGCTCCATCCTAATTTGGCAAGTCCCAGCAATGAGTTCGAGACGTCCTGGTGGCTCGCCCGGGGCAGCACCTGCAGCAGGCGGTCGCACAGGTTCCGGAGCAGGACCTCCCCGGGGAGGTGGCCTGCGGGGCGGGGCGGGCGGGGGGGGGCGGGGCGGGCGGGGGGGGCGGGGGGGATGCAGGACAGGTTAACAGCAGACCCCGACCCCTCTCAGACTGAGGCAGACAGACAGACGGACAGACAGATAAACTGTTTGGATGACTGTTTGGATGACTGACGGTCTCGGGACAGGACAGAGGGCGGTACAGCGCGCAGCTGGTGAGGGGAAGAAATAGCTGTGTGTGTGGGGGGGGTAGTACGGCAAAAGGTGCGGCGCAGTTTTTCTGCAGCACACGTTTCCCAGTACACAGGTCCCCATGACTAGACCCATTATGCCTCGACTCTTCCTTGCCTCCCTCCTCGCCTCCCTCCCTCCCTCCCTCCCTCCCTCCCTCCCTCCCTCCTTGCCTCCCTCCCTCCCTCCCCGGCCGCCTCTCACCCATAGTTCCCAGCGCCCACAGCGAGTTGGCCACCTCCTGCGGGCCCAGAGCGAACACCAGGACCTCCTCCCGAGCGCACAGCCCTGCCACAAGGTCGGCAAGGAGGCTGCTACTGCTTGCGTCGCTAAGGTGGCCGCTACTGCCGCCAACGCCGTCGGGGCCACTGCTACTGCTACCGCTACTGCTGCTACCTCCTACCGCGTCCGCGGCGGTGGCGGCGAGTTCGGCTGTCCTGGTTCGATAGCCTAATTTGGCAATGGCCCACAAGCAGTTGGAGACCTCTCGCGGCGTGAAGAGTGGAAGGGTTTCGCCTGCAGAGGGGGGTGAAGAGCCAATACACCAGTGTACGACATGCCGACACGGGGGTTAGAGGCAAGTACAAAACAGGGACAAAACAAACAAACGTATAGGCAGACGCTCGCTTCGAGAACTGAACTTGGCGCGAGAGAAGTCTCCTCTCACGCAAATAACATCCTCACAATCCCCCAGTTGGCTAGCACCGGACAGCTTGCCGACTGGCCTCCCTGAATCGCCAGGTGGGAGCAACCCCGCACACACAGCCCCGCACACCCGGCCTTATAGACACAAGCTGTACACCACGTGCCCAGTCCCATCGACACTTGCCGTGCGCCACACGCCCACCCAGTCCCATGGACACGTGCCCTACGTAAAAAACCCCAAACCCCAACTTCGAGGGAATAACGCGGATTCGTCCCCAACCCGCCACCACCGGCCGGTTGGGCGGCGATAGCGCAACCGCGAACAAAGGGTGTGCAGATCCATTTCCAATCGCGACGCACATGCGCAACACACTGCTCATGAACTGCAACAAGAAGAGAAAAGGTGGATGTCTTACCCACGAGTCGCTCCAGTTTTGCGAACCGTGGGTCGGTCAGCAGCTTCCTCGACTCCCGGCTGCCCGGATGCACCCCGCAGGAGCTTAGACGGTGAAGCGCAGTCGCGGTGTTGATGCGGTCAAACTCATGGCCGTGCACCTCCACAAGCTGCATCATCATCATCATCATCATCATCACAGGAAATGGCGGTTGGAAATGTGTATTTTCGTGTGATGTCCCCCAAACCCAAAAGTAGGGGCCACAGAGCGCTGCGACGGTGAGCACTGCGGGCAGACTAAAGACTGCCTCTAAACTAAAAATGATAATATTTATTGGCCCAATAAACCACAGCACGCAACCAAACGAGATGGTATCATATGGTCTGTGCGGACATAACGCGGACTTTGTGTAAGGCTAAACAAGGACCTCAAATTCAAGATCTGTAACCCCCGGAATTTAATTGCCGATACGCAAAAAGCGGGCGTTCGGCGTCGGCACAGCTGTTCATCAGCGCACATAAAGGGAGTTTACACATCTCCTTTCCCTTCCTTCGCACATCCCCACACCCCGGCCAGCCACTTATCCTTTCCAGCCACCTGCAAGATGTCCTCGTAATGGCGCCAGGCCCCGGCATTCACTAGCTCCTGGTTGATTCTCCGGGCTTCCAGCCAAGGGCGGGGGGAGAATATGCGTGTGTCTGGTGCCCCCTGATCTCCCCCACCGTCTTGCTGACCATCCGAAGGCCTCGCAGCGGCCCTCCCCGCAGCCTCGCCGCCACCTGGTCTTACTGTGAAGTCAGGGGACGATTCCCGGCGGCGCTGGCGGCTGTCATTTCCGCCGGATGCGGCGGAAGTGACAGGTTGACCCATGGGTCGCTCAGCAGCCGCTTGAGTCCCGCTCCTGCCGCTGTCATTACCGGTAATGCTACTTCTGCCACGCCGCCGTGAACGAAGCTCGTCTTGCAGCAGCTTTTTCCACTTCCTGTTGCTTCGGCTATTGATGCTGCCGCTGCCACCGCTACTGCCCCTTGAAATGCTACTGCCGCTACTACTGGCAGTGGCATTGGTTTCAGAGCGGTGAATATCTTCATCATAATCGCCAAGTGAGCCGGTACGAGTACTGGCTTGCAAGTCGCCCAAGTTAACAGCAACCGCGCCGTCAGCGCTACTGCCGTTCCGATGGCCCCTGTTCCTGCTGCTGCGATAACCTATGAGCGGCGCATCCTGGCTGTAGCACCGCGCAGACTCTGGCAGCAGGTCCCCCAGCGGCAACAACGCAGAGCTACTACTGCCGATGCTGCTGTCACTGCTGTCGCTGCTACTGCCGTCAGCCTGATCAGATTTGGAGCGCAGTAGCTCCGTAAGGGGTGAGGAAGCGAGGGAGGAGGATGCGGCAACTCCACGTTCCTTCTTTTGAGGTACACCAGAGAATACACGGCCGTGGCCGTGGCCGTGACCCGTGCCTTGCAGTACGTCATCATTGCCGTCGTCTGGGACGGGGGAGGTGGCGTCAATGCCGCTAAACCGCCAGACACCGTAATCCACATCGCCGTTGGTGCCGGAGTTGGTGCCTCCGTCGAGAAGGTTCCGCTGCTCGCCCCCACGCAGGTCCACGACCGTCGGTGATAGACAAGAAAGGACTGAACGGCACAGGCGGGACGTGGGTCGGTGGGTCGGTGAGACTGAGGGGAGGCTGGCGAGCTGAGGCGCCCGCGAGAGGGGAGCCTGACGCAAATGGTGCTTTAGCGGCGTGAGGGGTAGGCTGATCGGTGCGTGTGTCTTCCTGATTTGGTCTCCCACCCCCAACGCCGGAACGTAACGAACTACGACCTGGGGCTCTTCATGGCCTGCGTGACCTTTTCCTGGCACCTGTAACCTCTCGGCTTTCCATCCGTTTCCCGCTAGCAACTTCGCAAGGGTCGAGGATAGGTCGAACGCCCAGGCTATACGGCAGCGCCGGCAACTACCTGAGCTCACCTGCGGTTGGGGGCTCCCACAGACGCACAGCACCGTCGGTTGACCGCTTTATTGCCGCCGCGGATGAGCCAGGCACCCCTGCTGGTGCTGAAGGTGCTGCGGCGCGCCCGCGACATCGAGCAAGCGAGCAAGTCCGACAGCAAGCACGTCGTCTCCCGGCGATGCGCAGGGAAGGTCGTTGATAGAATCCCCTCAACATTCGATTCAATGCAAAATCGCACGGAGTCCTCTCCTGAGCTCAAGGACCCGAGCACCCTTGATAACACAACCTATGTAATCATTGTTCCTATAATAATCCGCCATATGATGGTTGGAAATCTATGCAGGAGCAGCAATTGAAAGCGCGTTGTCGGCGAGGGAAGCATGAAATCGGTATCTCAACATGCAAGTAAAGATCTTCGCCACCGCCAAAACGACTTTTTCTCGTTCTTGTGATAGAATGGCGCTTGCAGTCATGGGCGCTGAAAGGATCGAGGTGCACGGCAGTACGGGTAAAAGTAAAACTTTCTAAAGCGCCTTGAGACTTCGTAGTCTGCACAGCCGTTGTTTATAATTGAAGTTATATTTCATCGACCTTGTCTAAATCTAGGAGCGCAAACTTTTCCTTGATTGAGGCGCGCAAACTTTTTCTGCAACAAAGCGTTTGCCTCGCTCATTGTCGTGGTATCCTATCCGAACTCAGCGCCGCAACGCCCAACACCAAACATCCGTGCCTCCTCTGATTTGACGTCCAGAGCGGGAGGATTGCGTTGTTCTCCAGACCCTTGGGGCTGATCGCCGAACGGTCACCAATTTCCCAGCTCAAGAAAAGAGATTTTTGAATATACAATTGTAATGGAACATAACTCTGAGTTTGGAGCCAGGAAAACATGTCTGTCGCAGGGCTAGACCACTTCCAGACCAAGATATTTTACAGCCCTTTTGGCTCAGCTGTAGCAATATTTATTCATCCTAGCGGAGTGTGTAGCTACCATCACACCTTTTCATAATAATATAGGAAGGCTTGGCATGCATGCATCGCAAAGCTCCAATAGCGTTCCACTCTGGCCGCCCCCGCACCTTTTCCACCCGACTACGTCCATCTTATGCACCAAGCTACCATGACCCCCATTTCCATTCCTCAGCTCACCAGTCCAAACATTCAACCCCCCTCTAACTCTGCTTACTTAACCCTATCCCAACCCGCTCCGCACCTTTTTCCCCTTCCCCCTTGCCCGCCCGCCCTCCCCTCTCCCTCCTTTCCCTACTCCCCCTCCCCTCCACTTCGCTCCGCTCTACTGCCTTCATGCATTGAAGCCATATCCTGTCCTGGCCAGCGCCACCTGAGCCGCATGCTGATACACCACCACCTGGACGAACTCCTCTGGGCCCATGCCGGGTCGCATGGGCAGCTTGCCGCGTCGGAACACGGCCAGACCGCGGGGTCGATTGACACCGTTGTTGAGGTCGGAGGACTGAGGAGATATACATAGATTGAACCAGAGGTGCAAGAAGTGTGAGGTGCAAGAAGCGTCAGTCAGGTCGACCAGCGGGGGTTTCATCAGGTGATTGCGTGAAGTTAACGCACGGGACCCCGGGTGGGGTGGAGTGGGGTGGAGCCGGGCACATGGGGGACGTGAGGGAGGGAGAAGGTCAACTTTTCAATACAAAAGTTACGGTCAAAATCAAAGTCAACAACAACGGCTGCGCACTGAGGGAAGGGGCCAGGAGGGAGATGTATACGGACCCTGGCGAGAATCGAACCCGAACGCAGGGCCTATGGGTAGGGGGGTCGTGTAGTGGTGTGGCCGCGGCGGTGTGGAGAAACTGAATGTCCGTTGAGAAAGTGGAGGATTGGCCGGGCGGGCGCTCTGTACGGCGTTCGGACAATGTCGTCGTACGCTGGGGCCTAGCATGATGTGGCCACTGCGGGAGGCGCCGTACAGACCCAACGCCGTACGCCGTACCTGTGAGTCGTATATGTCCTGCAGCTGCTGCAGCAGTCGGTCGGTTGGCATCATGCTCATCTGCAGGTCTCGGCAGAAACATACATACGTACGTACATACATACATACATACACACATAACCGCGATGGCAAGAAAATTTTCAGGGTTTTAGGGTTTATAAATCTTATACATTACGTCTTCCCCTTCGTCATCCCCGAAGGGGTTACCCGTCAGTGGGTGGAACATTACAATAGGTGGTATATTACAGTACTACAATGTTCGCCCTACTGTTGCAATCCCCCAAGGCCCCCCCCCCTTCCTCCCGCTAACCCACATCCCTGTCTCTCACCCGTGGCTCGCTCCCCTCGTATTCGGGCCACTGAGCCATGAGTGTAAGGCATGCCGTACAATCCGTACGATCTTCAAAGGCCAGCACTCGCATGTCTCGCCGGTCGCCGGACAGCGACACGTTTACCTGAAACCCGGTTTCGGTCACGAGGTGCGAGGTGAACGCGGAGGAAAATCCGTACGGCAGAAGGGGGGGAAATCAGCGGATCGGGGGAGGAGGCGGGGGAAAAAGATAATACAACATAATAGAAGATTGAGAGGAAGAATAAAGACAGCGGGTACGGAAATACGGGAAAGGCCATATGCGGATCAACATATGGGCAAAATACGAACCCCCCATACGAACCCCAATTTCTTATTCGAAAATGCAAATTCGAAAAGCATAGAATAAACGCAGGGCAGCCCCAGCGAGAGGAACAGTATACAATAAAGAGCGGGGAGGAGGGGAAACTGTACGAACCACGAACAAGTGAAGCTGCTGCCAGGGCAAGAGAGGGGGGGGGGGGGGAACTGTCAGAGCATGAATTGGTAAACTAAAGTCATGCTCCTAAATGCCGAGTGTGGAACAAAGCGGTAGCAGGTGGACGGCTTTCGGACGCCGGTCGCCACACGCGCCGATGGTGCCTAAAAAGCACAGACGAACACATGTACGAACGTTCTCCATTTTACGACTGTACGGCAAGTATTTCGCCTTGTACCTGCATGAAGCCCATTGAGCCGTCCGTATACCCGATGGTGGGCAGGAAGAGGGCCTGGAAGCGCTGCTGCCACCAGGGCCGTCTTCCTCCTTGAGGATGACGAAGGGGGGGAGGGAGGGAGGGAGGGGAAAATACACACACAGCAAAGTGAATCAAGAAAAGAAGAAGAGAAAACAACTGCCGTACACTGACGTCCAAAGTTACCAACAAAGCGGGTTTCATATAATGGCGCAAGGGACATGCATATGGAGTCGACTGCCATACGAAGTCAAAAAAGTCGCAAAGCGGGAGCGAAAGGGGGGAAGAGGCAGATTGTTTGGTGCTGTTGCTGATGCTGCTGGCCCTGATGATGCAAGCAACAGCAGCAACCGGTCACGATCTGTGTGTTGATGTCCAGAGCACCAACTTCGAAAGGGGATATTATATATATACATATATATATATATATAACGGGAGGGTGCGGCTGACCGAGGAGTTGGGTGTACGGGCGTACGGCACGGGAGTAGGAAGGCGAGGGTTTTGAAACCGTGTGTCTTGGGGGCTGTCTGACTGATGCTGAAACCCTAAGTGTCCCACCATCCTCCCCGAAGGTGCCAGGGTTCCGTACACCCACTGCCGTACTCACCAGCTCCCCCCACCCACCTGCCAGTAGCGATGCAGATCGACCGAACAGTTGCTCGTCCATCTCCCCGCTCTCCTCCCCCTGTTCCTCCTCATCACCGGTGCCGCTGCCCAACTCTGAAAACACCCGCAGAGCCTCCTGCGTCCGTGTACATATGGTGTGTGCGACGGGGGGGTATATCTTCGCCCGTGGCCGCTTAATTGGCGAAACCCTGCCTTCCCCGGTATTTCGGGGCACCCTCATCCGGTCACCCTAGCCGACTTCTCAGTGAATTGCTCGGGTCCCGCACCCACCACCAGCATCCAACGGAATCTGCCGGGTCGACGGCCATTCCTGGTCGTGTATGTATGCACATATGTATATATGTATATGTCTATGTGTATGTATGTATGTGTATGTATGTATGTCTATGTATGTATGTATGTATGTATGTATGTATGAATGTATGTATGTATGTATGTATGTATGTATGTATGTATGTATGTATGTATGTATGTATGTATGTATGTATGTATGTATGTATGTATGACTTAGATTACACTGTGGGCTGCGAGAGCCGGGGGCCGAAGCCGAAACACAGCGCAAGGGTCGGGAGCACACAGCACAAGTCGGTTAGTCTTGTGTGCTCCCGACCCCGACTCAGACTGCCAACACTCTACGCAGCCACTCCGCAGCCCCTCCATCTGGGGATGGCGCTGCATTGAATACACCACGAAGGGCTCTCAGGTCCCGCTAGAGCGAGTCCACAAGTCTCAGCTAGGGCAAAGTCAAAGGCTCTCTGAAACAACCCCCCAAAACACCACCAACGAAAACG